AGCTGAAGAAGGTTGCCTTGAGGAAGCCTATATTCAGCGATGGATTTTTGATAGGCTGTATGTATGTATGTAATGTTAATCGTTACGTATAAATAAATACGTATGAACGGCTGTTCATAAAAAAGGATGAATTACTTTTAAGTCAGCTTAACTTTGTACGAAAGTAAGATTTCAATTTGTATACGAAATCCCCCCATCTAGGCAATTGATTGTCGATGGATTTATAATGCAAATTGATGCTGAAGCATTTTGCATTAAACGAAATTATAATGCATTAAAATGCTGTGCATGTTTGACTTTTCCCACTAGTACTTGGCAGATATTATTTGAGAAATTTCCTTCATTCATTGAGAAAGCAGGTTTAGGCCAACCCTATGTCAAGCATAAACGGAATTTAATTGCCGATGCTGGATGAACGGGCCATGTCGGTCCTAACTTATGAATCGTACTTAATGTTTATTATTCCATTGGCCATTTATTTATGAATACATTTTATTATACAAACTTAAGGGTACACATAAAGTTTAAATATACCCTTTATACCATAAATTTTATACCATAATTTACCATTATTGTTAAAAACGCGTGCTATTAATTTCATCGAGGCTACTTACTAAAACCGCTCGTAGTTTACGATTAGTAAAAGATTCATCATCATCATCATTACAGTCTATCGAAGTCCGCAGCTGAACACAGGCCTTGTCTTATCCGTGGCAACTATGGCAAATCTAGGGGGCTTTTTATCTTGGCAGATAAATTCGATACCGATATTTAAACTCTTTTTAAAAATGTTTCTTGAAGACAACTAAGTCGTATTCGATCCGGAAAAATCACAGGAAGTATAGTTTGTTACTTAATTTTATTATTTTGCTTTCATTTTATTACATTTTACGGTGTTGTCAAATTATAAATGTTTTATGGTTATTGTAATAAAATAAAAATAATTGGTAAACATAAGTTAGTAGCAAAAGTTAAGTAGCAAAGCGAATTTAAATGAAAAATATGACTAGGTAGGTAAACATAATCGAAAGTAAAGTAGACACTATTCTTCATCGCTCGAAGTGTCGGAATCATTGCCACCTGTTTTTGTAATAAGGCATTCAACGTCATTACGTGCTGAATTCATACTAAAATAAAATAGTATTTTTGTTATTGGTTCAACCAAAATTTCATCTTGAGACACTTCACTGTCCTCCCAAGGATGAATAAACATTTTCTGTACAAGTAGCAGAGTCAACAAAAACAACCTTTAACTACTGCCTTTTGTTTTAAAATGCCAAATCAAAATTTTTCTTGCGGGAGTACGCCCGCGTATGCCGAGGCGCGATACTAAACCGTATGTGTATTTAAGCGAACAGACTGTAAGATCTATAAGTGAGGTAGGCGTCCTACATCATGGAGGCGTTAAATTTAGATACATAAATTGCATAATGCCAAACATCCAGACTCAGAACACTAAACTATAGGCCATACAAACACTTGATTTGTGCGGGATCCAAAGAATAAAAAGTCCCGCTGAGTTTCTGGCTGGTTCTTCCCAAGAGAGAGTTTTTCTCTGAGTCAAAGTCAAAAATGACTTTCAATAAGAATTACACTATTCTAATCCCCGGTAGTAAAACACTCAATCATTGCGTTTTCCGTGGACTCATTTCTTCATTACTAAGCTATTCTATAACAAAAGAATCAGAATTTTATGCAAATTTTATTTGTGCCAATTGAAATACTATGCAAAGTTTTGTTATAGTTTACAATGGTTAAGTAAGGTAAGTAAAGGACTAAAATAGAAATACCTCGTGACTAGTAAAAATAGTCATAAAAGATTACCTAATGAAACATATGGTATTTGTTAAAATATCGGAAAATCTAACTTTTCAACCGTTCAATAATATTATAAACTAAGATATAGTAGAGACGGAGATAATAGCACATGCCTTTTAAATTAATTTTTATGATTTTGATCTATTCTTATACTTAGTTCTCTATAAGAAATAAGTAGCAGCAGGAGCATTACTTACTCCATAATATAAACTTCTTTATTAATAGAGGTAAATAGCAACTTAAGTAAAAAAAATACTATTCTTGGTAAATAATCAATATTTGCCTAATTCTCTTAATATAAAATCAATATAATTCGATTCATTATCTATGTAGACAAGAGCAAAACCGGTATTAAAATTTCATATACCAGTTTTTTCTTTTGTAAGTTCTGTGTATATTATGAAACATCCTTACGTAACCTTAATGGGGAAAAAAAGATAAAAAATGTAAGACCTTTAAAATAAAATATAAAGATAGTCGAATAGAAATAGGTAAAATTAGGTGACTATTATGAAAAGCTGGTTGGATTTATTATTGGTCTACAATATATTATCTATGTTTCTACGTTTACATATAAAAATCTGAAGCAATCACCTGGGGCCCTATGTTCCATGAAATGTCATTCTGGCTTGTGTCCACCACAGTGAAAACCACAGAGCACATGAGCAATGATAATACAAAGAGAGGTTTTCGAGTATCAATGTGTAACATAAATGGCAAATCTTTTGAATGTGTTGACTCAAAAGCTTGATTCTTTTATATCTCAAAGAAACCTAATACTTTAAACAAAGTGATTGGAAAAAGATGGAAAGCACAAAAAAGTTAGGATCACTTTACTTTACTTTACGAAGGGTTTCATTTTGTTCCTTTTGAAATACGGAACCTTAAAATCTTCATTGTTTAGGTATTTATAATTGTCTTCTTCATATAAAGCTATTTCAATATTTTTTGAATACATGAATGAAAAATATACATGGGTACACTTAAAGTCTCATGAAAAACAAAATAAACGATAATATTATTCAACACAAAATAAAATATGCCTTTTTATGTAAAAAAATGTTATGACATTAAAATTATATTATTTCAGATTTTTTTAAATATATTATATGGTAATAGGAACTGTTTTTGTTTTTTCTTTAGTTTTGAAATTCGTGGCAACGGTGAAGCGTGATGTCGCGCTACTGCTTGTCAATTAATATAATATAATATATCCGAAGAACGATGCATTTAAACACAATAACTGAAGAAAAGAACTCGTATAAAATTCATAATATAAAATCCATAGAAGGTAGTATATAATTTTGTAAAATGGTTAGTGATAAAGTGAGGTTTAAGGATTATTCTAAAAGGTGGTACCGGAAAACAAATCACCTAATTCAAAAGCAAACTGATTACATAATAAGCTGATTAAATTAATGAAAGGATTACCGGAAATAATTTGTAGTAAACTATATACGATTAACAGGAAAATAAAAAAAAAAAACGTATTTAGGAACCAGCTAAGAAACGTTGACAAAAATAAAATAGAGGTTAGGTTTATTTGTTTGCGATCGAACATAATAAATGTTTCATATTATACTTAATCAATCACACCATTAGCTCTAATATATTTCATTATTCCACATACCTACGGTCAACTTTCTTTCGAGGTAATTGCTGCATAAGTTCACAGCAACATTGCAATCACGTACGTCATTTTTAGAATCATCAATACGCAAAATAAGACCACAGACTAGTTTATAAATAGACACTTACGGTATAGCTCGAATAAATAAGGGTGATAGTTAAAAGACAGTCTAGTCTATCGAGCTAGTCTCTAATTCTATCTATCTTTGTTCCCACGGCGCCGGCGCCAGATCCAGGGGCAGAAAAACTTTAACCGGTTTACCATCGGGATCGAATCTTCAATGCGTGCCCAGAGACGGGTTTTCTACTATAATAGTTAGCACAAATTTATTTGTAACCAGCCATTGCCCTCTGCTTTGCTTAGTTATTCACTTAGTATCTTGTGTTTTACTCTTTTTCTGTAGCGCGGTTTTTCAAAGTTTACGATAAATCATAAGAATGTAGTGAATGTAACTTTCTCTAAAATCTATATGATGACTAATATTTGACAAAAAAATTTATTTAAATAAAACAGAAAAGGTAAAAAATGTTTAGGCATTGGGGATGGGGGATAGACATGGGAGGATGTTTTTCCGGAAGGACACCTTTCGAACATTTTCATAAGCAATGAATAATTATTTACTATGCTAGGGAAATTATAGTGCTATAAGTGTACATGGCAACAAAAGCTTATTCGCCCTAACAAAGCCTATCTATGACCGGTTCAGAGGTGAGTTAGGAAGTAGTCTTAACACTTCCTTTAAAAGTTTATTGATTAGATTCTTTCTTTTTCTTTCCAAACTTTATTAACCGTTTTGGTTGATTTTTATTTACCGATAGAGATTGCGTTTTACAGTGGTCCCATTTAATTTTGGAACCGATTATAATAATTTAAGTCGATTTATATATTTTTAAAACAACTGTTACTGTTAACACAAATATTGATTCCAGTCTGTAATTCAAAACCAGAACCCGGTACAATTCGATCCAGGTCTCTGACCTCTAGCTCATTGGCATCGTTTGTGATTCTTCCTTTTTTCTTCTTCATCAGATCCACAGCTGGATATGTGGGCCTTTCCTGTTGCAAGAAGGATATATCTTAATCGTCACGCTTAGCAGGTGGATTAACGACAGCTGTACCACGCAAACATCTTACACCTCTGAGGCTGCCCTTCACCCGTCTGGATATTTTACGTCTAGCGTAAACGACATGGATATAACGACATATATCGAATGCCTTAAGATTCTTTTAGTATTTTCTGTCCCGCCGTAAGAGATAATCTATTAGAAAACCCTCAGGGATAAATGAGCTGATGGAATGTCTTATGCCGACACGTCACGCGACAGGTTATAATTATAGGGTTTAAATTATTAATATAATATGAATGAAATAAAAAACTTAAGTTCTTATGCGTTAGAATAAATGAAAAAAACGAAGAAACTTTAATTTCTCTTTATGGTAGACAAAGAAAATCAGTGATAAGAAAGGAAGTGAGGCGGGAGTCCAATAATAAATAGTAACTATTTAGGCACTGGACAAGACATAATAATAATAATAATAATAAATTATTTACCTGATAGTGAGAAATCGTTGTGGCGGCTCTCGGAATCGCGAATAAGGAAAGCACCATGTTCGTTCTCTGGCAGGAGCAATTTTTTCTCGGCTTCAATCCGCTTTATCTTGCGGAAGTACCATCTGCAACAAAACAAGGATACTCTTTAAAACCTTCTTTGTTTACTGTAAGTACTTTAAATTATTGAGGCCTACAAAGGCTGAAAGCCAGAATCCAGAAAGAAGGGCGGCTATGACTCAACGGCCACGGATGAGTAAGTATTTTGTATTCAGTTGGCGTAAGTTTGCTGCGACGAGAGGGCCAGCTTATTGTAGAAGCTACTTTAGATTTGAGAAACCCACGAAGTGAAGATTTGTAATATATGAAAAGGATTTTTTTGATACGTTACAAAAGGACTGGTAGCTTTGCCTTAAATTTCATAGTATGCATCCTGTATACTTTACGTTTCTGTCACTGAAATCGTTGATTGCAATCAAAAAACAATTTCAGTTTAACAAAAGTCCGCCTGTACGAATTGTAGTATCGTAGTAAACACCCCTATACTCAAAAATTAGAAACTCCGCTTAGAAATTGGAGGTGCCACGGCACGTACCCAGTGCTATTTATGTTTAAAGATTTACTCTACATTTAGAAGAGGTTTACAAACAGTAGTGTATTTTTTTCACGGTCAGGTTAAATATGAAATTTAGAGCAAAATAAAGTAGCTGCTGCGTAGGACAGCATTGTTGCATCACGCAGACCGACAATAGCAGCAAGCATTGCACGAATTTCCACGCGCTGTTATGCGAGGTCGTTACATTACGAACAGCCGATTGTTGTAAATGTATTATTAATTAAAAACTACTAATACAATACTTTTATGTTAGTTGAAAATAAAGACGGTTACGTGTGAATAAATAACTATATGCATAATATGACAATAGTTATTTTAAACTGAGCGGAATTTTTCGATTGCAATCGTGACGATAAGCTATCGATTGTACACTGATTGCGGTGGTTTATCAAATTGTTTCGGCAATGCGATAGATCTTCTGCTAATCATTAAGGAAACCGTTCAGTTGTGGTGTTTATCAATTTAAAAACATTAAGTTACGTATATTTATTTGAATTGTCCAAATGTAAATTTTAAAATTAACTCTTCTCTAGCTTGAGAAATTGTTCATTACTTTTACAAGTTTTATTATACACAAAGTTAAGTCAATGTAAAACACATAAAAGAACTCCTAAGCATATTAATGACTTACAAGTACACTGCTTTCATTGTCAATTTGAGTAATAAATTTGAAATGGAGGAAAATTATCAGGATCAATGTCGCAATAACTATAAAATTGTACCATGGAAAGGGCGTAGCCAACCTTAAACCTCGTCACGTACTAAGGGCGTCCTTAGGATCATAGACATAATACAGTATCCTATGAAGGTCTTCCAATAAGGTTTTATGTAAACGCTAACGGAATTAAATCATTTGATAAGATCTATCTAACGACAACAATTGTTAAGCGTGAAGAGCAGGTAAACTTATACTTTACATTCTTTTAGAAGAGGATAAAAGAAGTATAGCACGTAACGGAATCTACATCGATTATTGCCGGATAAATTATTTATGTGTATTTTATTATTCTTCTAGCGATCCGCACCGGCTCCGAACGACTTTCTTGATCTCGACAACAGCATCAACTACAGCTCAGAATCGTCCAGGTGACCTCAGACGTACCACGTAAAAGTTTCACCACGATAGGTCAAGACGTTAAGGAGGAGAAGAATTACGAACACACGCACACTGGAATTTTATATGTAATAAAGTATGCAGATTCCTGAGACAATAATTATTCAAAGCATTTATTTAATTTAAATATAACATAATATGCATTCCAAAGATATTTTGGACGATTTTTATTGTGTTTTGTAATCCAGGTGAAAGAGAAAGTAACGTTTAAGTTATTTGGATATAATAATTTATATTTAATATTTTGGATAGAACAATTTTCGACTGCGATATAAATGAGATTAAAGTTATAATATCTATATATAAACATAAATTGCTGTCCGTTACTCGAACGATTTTGATGAAATTGTTTGTGTGCATTTGAATGGGGATAATTTAGATTCATATTTGGATCCGGTAGGTGGCGTTATTGTCGAGATCCAGAAATCCAAAAAGCCGGGGCGGGTCGCTAAGTCAATAAATTACGTTAAACGTAATGATCTATGCAAGTTACAAATTAAATATCGAAGAACGTAACAAACCGTTTTTTTTAATTGAGCGGTTTTTAGCTTAACTATGTAGATTCCTAAAGCGATGGCATAAGTAACTGTTAAGGAGCTTGGGCACCCTTTTAGATCTCAAATTTTCTATCGGCGAATACGACCAACCACGAACGTATTTTTTACCGAACTTGGCTCCTATTGCGTAGTTTTAGTCACCATATTTTTGAATTGTTTATATCTAAGCGATAATAAATCTTTGGAATCTAGAGGATACTTCGTCTTATTAACTCAAGACGACAAGTAGATATTTCCAACGATATCACACTAAGTTACTGAAATTCGGTTTCTGAAATGACAACGACCACGTAAGTTGATATAGGTAGTAAAGACTAACGGCTAAAACTGTTAACTAATATACCTAATGGTAAAGCAAGAAAAAAAAATGGAATCTCTATAACGTTAAAATTGTCTTGGCATAAGCGGTTATTGTAGAGATTAAATAATAAACAAAAAACATCAGTTGCAAGTTGCTTAATGTCAACAAATCAAGTCAATAAAGTCAAGTATATGGGGTTATAGCTTGGCTTGTTTGGGTAACGAAATTCGAGCAGTCAGTAATCAACCCCTGACCAACCCATTAACACTTTCACTGTCTTATTTTCAGATACAATAGCAATAAACTATGTGTACTACACGGGACATCGAATGGGTTAATTGGGCTTTTCTTTTGTCTAGGAAATGCTTAATATAATAATATATAGGCAATGTAGGCCTTAAGCATCCCCTAGGGAATCCCCAACTTTTTTTTATAGGATAAGTTGACAAACGAGCACACAGCCCACCTGATGGTAAGCGGTTGCTGCGGCCCCTAGACATCTACATCTATCCTCGATTACAAATCAAAATGCAGATGCGTTGTCACCCGTGAGGACTAAGATGGAATGCCTCGTTTCCAGTTAAAAGGGTCTCTGGTTCTCTACACTCACCATACGAAACACAGCAGCCTTAAGCTACTATTTGACGCTGGTATTCTGTGAGAGCGTGGCCCTTCCCCGGTCGAGCCGACCCATTCGTGCTACAACTATACTATTAATATAATTGCAGAATGACTCTACCACGTATAAAACGATTACGCATTATGAACGTAGTTACTGATTTTTATTCTATCTCGATACAATTGTACAAACCAATGACAACTAAGAAAGTCCCAAATGAGATATTCGTCCTTTATATCGAGTAGTTTAGAGTGGTTTAAAAGGTCAGATAAATCATATGTGTGATTGCGTCGATGTGAGGCTGCAGTATACAGTTACTTATTATTACCTCCAATATTCATCTTATTTTCTATAAACAATTAACATGCAGTTATGCTCATGTACTTTATTGAATAGAATAGTTTAGCTAGAAAATATTGCAGTCAAAATTTTCATGCAGAGTGTTTATAGAGAGGAAATGATTATATTTTAAACTAGTAACACGTCCCGGCTTTGCCTTGATAGGATTTGTGTAACGTGGCCTTATTTAGGTTTCAGACTTCAAAACTAAAAGACAAAAAATCAAAGACCAATTTATAAAAACTTTCGTGTATTCGGATAAAATCTGGTCGTAAAGTTGCATCACAATCCCTCTGTAGGCTCAGAAGGACTAGAACCCAGAGCCGTAAAACCAGTTAATAAAAAAAACAATAATCACAATCCGTTCAGCCATTTTGAAGATTGGCTTGGACAGACAAATAAATTAAAAAGAATAATTAATTATGTTTGCTAATAACCCCCTGACCTATACAGCTCTATTTAGCTTTATAAAATACAGACACTTCAATATAATTTATATGTAATAACATTAATACTTACTTTATTTTAATTACTTAGTTTTTGTAACTTAATAAAACGCTAGTTTTGCAAATACATTCAAACATTGAATAAGTTACAAAATATATATAAGTAAGTTGGTTTTAATTTGGTTTAATTACTTAAGATAGATATTCTATTCTAATTTTTTACGTTTTTTGATAAGTAAGTGTAATGTTTGTATATAAAAACAAAACAACTTTACAGCCTGTTCCACTATTTCATTACAATTACTGAGCTAAATGTAAATTTTAATCTTTTGCAGCCATAAAAATGCCATAATATATTGCTTGTATGGTGCTCTCGAAACTACGATCTTTATGTTCTGATATTATATTTTATGGGATATGTTTAAACTGGTCTTCCCCAGACTATCCAACTTTAAAATGGCGTAGAGAGTTAGTAAAGCAATTTGTAATTTATTAGTTGATTGCGTTAAGGTAAGTTAAAAAATCTGAAAAACGGTTTACCTTGCAGGCTATCCACTAGAACTTAACCACCCGCCTTATTTCGAAAATCTATTTATTTTTTTAACTAGAAACGATTATTTTGAGATGTTTAAAGGGCTATAACTTTTGAATGCGTCATTTGATTTTGACTTACTTGGCGGCATTCGACACAATTATATAGTAAACTAAAACTAAAAACTAAGTTTTTTTGATGTCTGGATTTGAATCACATATTTTGAAAGGTATTTAGAAAAAAAGAAACGAAAACTTTTTTGGTTTTTATCCCTTGAAAATTTTTGAAACGGGTGATTGATTTGAAAATCTAATCAGCTCGAAGTATCAAGGAACATTTTCAAACACCGTGTCGCTCATCTCGACCGGTCGGACACACACACACACACACACACACACACACACGAACGCGCGCGCGCACGCGCGCACGCATGCATGCACGCACACACGCACGCACGCACGCATGCACGCGTGTACGCACGCACGCACGCACGCATGCAAATACGCAAGTTATTAACGCACACGCGCTCGCACGCCCGCGGCCGTACGTCCAACTGGAAATAATCGGAACGGCTTCCAAAACGTGGATCTGATGGAAACTC